TTTTTGGCAGCTAGCCCTGCCTGCCACTTGCACTGCTGTGGTTAAGCGCTATTTCTAGTGCACTCAATCAATGAGAGCTCATAGGGGCATGTCTCCTCAGGCTGGGAATCACACCCCCAGCTTGAAGTGTAAACATCTCCTTAGGCCACATCCCCACTTGTGGGAAGACATGCTGTGGTGGTTGATCTTCAGGCATTTGATTTTTGGCAGCTAGCCCTGCCTGCCACTTGCACTGCTGTGGTTAAGCGCTATTTCTAGTGCACTCAATCAATGAGAGCTCATAGGGGCATGTCTCCTCAGGCTGGGAATCACACCCCCAGCTTGAAGTGTAAACATCTCCTTAGGCCACATCCCCACTTGTGGGAAGACATGCTGTGGTGGTTGATCTTCAGGCATTTGATTTAGCGGGTCTAATAAAGACCTGCTAAATTAAAAGCTGAGCATGCTCCTGTTAATGCTGGTACTCCTGCACTTCGCAAGGAGTAAGAGAAGTTGATGGCAACATTTCTCCCGTCGACCTCCCGCTGTGAGGACGGCACCGAAGCTCAGCTTGAAGTACGTCGACTCCAGCTATGTTTATTACATAGCTGAAGTTGTATACCTAAAGCCGACCTTCCCCTGTATTGTGGACCTGACCTTAGACTGGAATTTGTCCTTAGAGCTTAGTTTATCTTTCTTCCCCTCCCCGCTCTTGGCAAGTTGGCTGTGATCATCCAACCAGGCAGTGGTCGTTGCATTTCAGCGATCTTTTCCGTATGCTGACACTGATCCTAGAAACAAGGAAGAAAGTGTCAGTGACTCTACACATGAGAGTTGCCTGGTTGTACTGTTTGCATGTGCAAGTGTTTGCAGGAGCTGTCCCATAGTCTGTAAAGGATTGGGGGTCCTTGTGGACAGAGCCTGCTCTCTGAATGTAAATTATTGCTATCTTTAACCTGTAGTTAGACTTGATTCAACAACACTGAAAAAGCCTAAACTTTCCCTTCTCTTTTATCCTCATTTTCAGCACCAAACAGAGGTCCCAGTCACCTGATGAAGTTGAAGCTAAGGAAAAGGACGAACGCACGGTAACAGTCAATCCTTCTCACATGGGAAAGGCATTCAAGGTCATGAATGAATTGCGGAGGTACTTTTTCCATGTAACATGCAACATTTGTGGTTTATCAGACACACGCTAGTCATTTGGGACACTTTAAAGATCATATTCTGTGTTAGGTTCAGCGCAAAAGGCGATCATGCAACAAGGTGTTAGCAGCACCGTAGGAAGAGGCAGCCAAAGTATAGACACTGCATAGCACACTGCGATTCCCTCCCACACACCTGCCTGTCTCTTGGTTAAAAAGAAGCCAGCTTTGTCTCAAAAACATTTTGGAGCATTATTTGCCGTTTATAAAAAATAATTGGTTTAAAGTTTCCTGGTCCTTACTAGGCTTGTGAATGTTTAACTGGTTAACTGGCAGGATCTGGAGCAGATCCTTGCTTGCCATGAGCAGGGGGCTGCTCCAGTTCCACAGCAGGACCCACCATGGCCAGGGGCTGCTCTGGTTTTCTGGAGCAGCCTCTGTTCATGGCGGGCCCGGGCGCCCTGCAGGCAGGGACTACTCCAACTGAGCTTGACTACTGGGACTACTTCAGCCTGTGGTGTTTGTGTGGGGAGGCGCTTAAGCCCAGTGGTGGGCACGGTGCTGCTCCATCTCCCCCTCCTGTTAATTGGTTAACTGGTTAAATAATACCTTTAACCAATTAAATGGGATTTTACATCCCTGACCCTTACAGCAAATCCTCATGGAAACTATATACTTAACAGAGCAAACAACTTGAAGACCAATAATAGAAATGAAGACACCTATGTGTAATTACTGCTGAAGGATTGCTAAAGTGGAATTCATTTTCTTTGACTACCTGTCACTCCATTGCAGCTTTGCACTTCAAAGTTAAAAAAACCCCCACACCACCCACAGCCCAATTTAAAAACTTCACACTGCTCAAAGAGGGAGCTGCAGATCATTCTGAAACAAGTGTGTATGGGGAGAGAGAATTGTTACTTTAAATAGACTTTTTTTAAAAGTTATTTAAAAGATACCTGTGGATGTGTCAGCTATTCAGTGTTAATGGATGACACTGAGTTTATTTCGTGGAGACTGCCATCTTCCCATGAAGCAAGTTGAAATTTAGTGGGCGTTTGGCTTTTTTCATTTATATGTGACTAGGGATGTTGATTATTGTTTAAAAGTTAACTGGTTAAACGCTAGGTTTAACTGGTTAACCTTCGAGCAGGCCCCCACCTTGTATGCTGTGGATGAGGGAGTGCCTTCCAGCCAGGCTGGGCTGAGCCTAGAGTACCATGGGCGGGGGGCTGCTCCATCCCAGCTGGGCAATTGGTTAACTGGTTATCCATAAGCATCACCCAATAAAGGTGTTTTATTGTGACTGACTTGAGTGCTTAGCCTGCCAAAATTCAAGTGCCCTGGGGACCCTACCAGTGCCGCTCTCTTAATTTCTGTGTTTGGCTAGAGCCTGTACATTACTCAGTTGACTGTACAAGGTGACAGCTGCCCTCAAGCACCTGCTTTTCAGACTGCATCATTGCACGCTCCTTGGCACTGCTTTTTCTCCGCTCCTGCCACTATTTTGAAGTCTGCAGTTGTGAAGTAATACTGTCAGACAGCCCGTGATATGGTTCCCTGGAACAGCAGTGATTTAATTCCCATTTATCTAGTAATCCCTTATTGAAAGTCTAGATTTAAACTCCTAGGGGGGTAGTGAGACCTTTAACCTCTTTGTATTCAGAAGATGAATCCCAAAGCAAACTGAAAATTTATTTGCATGAAATACTTTTTAGATGCTAGTATCCTAGAGAGGTACTAAGCTGAATTCCTTTCTGGTAGACCGAAGTGGATGGTTTCCAAAACCTGCCTTGTATCTTGCTCTCATAAAAGCTCTCTATCACAAGCATCCCATCAAAGCTAGTTCAATATGAAACACACCGTCTCTTGTATGTTTCTGCTTGTCTTTCCTGCATGTTTCCAGTTGTAATCTTCAGTGTTTTGGGAGTTGGTTTATTAGGTCTGAGAAAATGCAAGGGATATACCTAGTTCGTTAGGAGGCTGTATGTTTTTTGTTTGATATGGGTTTTCTAAAACAAAAGTGCAATATGCCACATTGAAGATAAAGTGGAATGTACCACTGACAGTTGGATTTATAGCCTGATCTTTTTTCTTAGTGTATCACCTTCTGTGAACACTCTTATTCTGCATTTAGATGCTTAAATAAAGCTCATGTATTTTTTTTATAATACCAGGGTGGATTAATTTAAATAAAAGTGATTTAAATAATTGGTTTAAATCATGATTTAAATCACTAGGAAAAAAAATCATTGATTTAAATGAAGTTGCTCACTGGTACTTCACATTTCTTAAACAATGGTGTAAATCTGATCACTAAAACATGTTAATTTACAGCTCATTACAGCATTTTACATCATCTAAAGTGGGTATATTTTGTATAACTTTGTAGCTAACTTGATTTTTATTAATTTAGGAAATACTATATAATACAGTAAGAACTAAATTACATATACAAACACAACAGTACTTTATTAAATTAAATCTTAAATGCAGCATTCTGTTGAGTTGCTGGTTGATAGTTATCCTTATGCTTTTTTAAATTTTCACATTTTATTAACTTTAACAGACATGTCCTTGGAACACTAAACGTACAGTGTCCTTAAAATGACTACAGTGAGCTCTCCTCTTCCCCACTCTATCATTTTGATTCTCAGACTGAAACAAGAATGTAAGTTTTTTCCTGCTCTTTCAACTCCCAGTCTATTTCTTAGATGTGTGAATACAGGCAGTCCACGAGTTACGCGGATCCGACTTCTGTCGGATCCGCAGTTACAAACGGGGTTTGCTGCCCGTCTCCCTGGTCTGCTGGAGATCAGCAGACCAGGGAGACGGGAAGCAAAGCCTCTGAGGACGCTGGCAGCGGGACATCCGCGTCACGTCTGGGCTGTCCGCTGCCCGCGTGCTCCGCGGCTTTGCTCCCCGTCTCCCTGGTCTGCTGGAGACCAGCAGACCAGGGAGACGGGGAGCAAAGCGGAGCAAAGCTGCGGAGCACGCGGGCAGCGGACAGCCCAGACGTGACGCGGATGTCCCGCTGCCAGCGTCCTCAGAGGCTTTGCTTCCCGTCTCCCTGGTCTGCTGATCTCCAGCAGACCAGGGAGACGCGGAGCAAAGCCGCGGAGGACCCGGGCGGCAGGACCGCGGTGCGTCTCGGTCCCCCGCCCGCGTCTCCCTAGTCTTCCTGTAGTCAGCCGTTGGTCAGTTTCAGCAGCGGCTGAATCTGGACGCCAGTTCCGACTTACATACAGATTCAACTTAAGAACAAACCTACAGTCCGTATCTTGTACGTAACCTGGGGACTGCCTGTAATACCAAACAATTACCGTGTTCTCTCTGTGTGTGCAGAGGAGGCTACTGCTGTGAAAAGTTGGCTTTGTCACTGAAGGAACTCTGTTCCAAGATGCCTGGCTAATGATTCCCACCAATTCAAGGGAGTGGCTTTGTTCAAAGCATCAGTAAACATTTACAGATTATATGGTTTTGCTCCAGCCTGAAATTTATTTTGACTGGCATAATTGAGGAGTGATTTTGAGAGGTCCATGCCATGGCAGCATCACTATCTTCAGAAGTTAGGCATCTACCTTTATATCCAGAGTTAAAAATGTCCACAAGAAAAAAAGGCGGAGTTTAGTATTTGATCCATTTGCTTCTTTACTACCTGTAGTTTAACTTTCTGGTGAGGTATTTTTTCTCAGTGTTTCTTAAAGTGCCTTCCAAATTTCAACAGCATCAGCAATTTCTCTGAAGTTTAAGGCTATGAATAATAGTTTTCCATATACTGTGCATATTCTTACGTTCCTCTTTAATCCAACGTTCGTTACTTTGGATGAGATACCTCCATCTATTTAATCACAATTTTCTCCACAAATCTTATGAGACTAGGGCAGTTTTAAATACATTTATCAAAACAACCACAGAATACCATCAGATACTTTGAGGGAGAATGAGTTTGGATCCTCAGCTTCACTGAAGAGAGCAGGAAGCAAAATGGTTGTTACAGAAGTATTTTGTGACTTGAACAACATTTTCTTTTGCTACTGGAGATGACCTACTTAATTCTTAGGCTAAAAGGGGCATTAAATGGGCACTGTAGCCATATTATTAAGGAGCATCCTTTCATTTCTTCTTCCAAATATCTTCTCGTCTTTGCCATGTTTGCAGTGTTGTCTGACACAAAACTGCGCAGGTGACAGTTGAATTTTTGTTCACGGTTTATTACAGTGTTAACTGCCGCCACTTTTAAATATTATGTTGTAGCCATTTCCCAGTGTATCTATTGTTTTTGGAAGATAGGCATCCCATCTTCTGTTGTCACCCAGGCACACACTACTGGATTGTTGTGTACATTGCTCCACCCGTCAAGCTGGCAAATTTCCCTTCTGTATTTCTTATACACTGTATCTGGAAACCTTCCACCACAGTCTTTTCTACCAGGTGAAATGCAGCCTGGTAGTAAGGATTCAACCACGTCAGTGAAGGTGTTTATTGTTACCAATGTGAAAAGGATAGTAATAGAGATGTAGCCATGTTAGTCTCGTCTTGCTGAAATAAAAGACAGGACTATGCAGTACTTAAAGACTACCAGGATGGTTTATTAGGTGATGAGCTTTCGTGAGCCAGACCCACTTCCTCAGATCGTCTGGCCCACGAAAGCGCATCACCTAATAAACCATCCTGGTAGTCTTTAAAGTGCTGCATAGTCCTGTCTTGTTTCAATGTGAAAAGGAGAATTTGTGGCATAAATGAACCTAGTACTCTTTTCATCTATGGTGTCTTGTTTGTATTTGCTTGTCCTTCCTACTGGAGGAATGAAATCTTTTCCTTGCTACTAACACTTTGTTGTCTGAAATATGTTTAATTACAGCATAGCTGCCAAAAGTACTAATAGTTGACTCAACTAATAGTTGACTTACGCTTAAATGGGATCCTGAAACAAAAAATACTTTTGAATAGTCATTTTTCTTAGTTCTTCTCATTCTGTTGTTCAGTTAATCGTTTACATTTTTTCAGCAAAGGTGCAGATCTGATTCCAAATTACCAAAAGAGCAAAGACTGTGCTTAGAATGCGCTTAATTTTGGAATAAGCTCCATTGAACTCACTGGCATTTCTGTTTTTTAAGAAAATAAGTATAGAATAGGGTTTCCTTGGAAAAGCTGAATTATGCTGAAGTAAAATAGGGAATAGATTTATGGCATCATCATTATGGTACGTGGCCATGATGTTTCAAAATAGGCATGTATTATGTAATATAAGAAAATGACTCTGGTAACTGGCAGTTCTAGATTTCACTTACTGCAGCTTTCTGTATTGTATACTTGGGTGATAGATTTTAAACCTAGTTAACTAATTAAATGAGCCATAAGGATTAGCGAAGATAAACTTCTTTTTTTCTAGCAACATCCAACGTAACAAACAGCTTGGGCATTTACTTGTCAAATCACTCTTATATTAACCGGCATAAAGAGAAGAAAGATGCATTGCATGGAGAATTACTGCATAGTCAATTATTTAAGTTACTAACCAGTTGATCTACTCAGTCATATCCACGTCTACATCCACATAATTTTTCTCCCAGTAAGCAGTTTTCCTTATGATGTTTGATTCTTGCAGAGCCTCTCTGCATCTTCTTGCACTGCTTACACTTGACACATTTTCCTTTTTTCTCCAGGGAACAAATTTTTTAAAATATTCCCAGATAGGGTCTCTCTTACGTCCAGAAGCCATAACAGTTTTTCTGTGACAAAAGTGTGTGGGGAATATAGGAAGCTGTGTGTATTCTGAATAATGTCTTCCAATTTTCTTCCCAGTCCACTCCACTGTTCCTTTCTATGCTGTCTCCATCCTTTCCTATATATTGTGTCTCTGTCTTTAAGACAATATCTTAACTACCTTCTCTGCATGTGTGGCCCAGGTCCACCATCACATAAGCACAGAACAAAAACTATCCTATCCAGCCTGTCTCTTCCTTTGCACATGCTGCTGCTTAGTTTGCTGAGAAACAGAAATTGAAAGTCAAGAACTTTCAGGAAGCAAGATCTAGTAGTTAGGCTGGACAGACTAGAGCCGTTAATTCGTTTTTGAGACTTTAAGTTTAGGTACAGTATGTTAGTGCTGAGATTTAATTGCAACTTATTTTTAAATGAGAAATTTAGTATTTTATTGACCTAAAAATCCAATTGAAATAAAAAATCTGGTTTTTTTATTGTAAAAAAATCATTGGTTTTTATCCACCCTGAATAATATTGAGCAATCAGTTAATTAATTCTTAAAGGAGAGAGCTGCGAGGGAGGTAAAACTGGGCACAGATTTGTGAAAAACCTACCCAAGGCCACACATTGAGTGAGTGGCAAAACCAGGGCTAGAATTTAGAAGTTTTTGGCTTCCCAACTCCCATGCTGACTTGTGCATTAAACTTGGTCACCTAGGTGACTAGCAGACTCCCATGAATGAGTGCACTTTGTGGTGATGCTCGTGAGGATCCTTTTGTGCCTATTTAAACCTGAAAAATACGCTTCATTGTTCACATATGGTAGCCTCAAATCTTCTCTCTCTGCCAGGCCTGCTGTGGCATGTGGGTGAGGAAGGAACTCTCTCCCTTTCCATCCCATCTCCCTCCAAAGGCTGTGGAGAAACTAAAGCTGTGGCATCCCCTTCTGCTGCGCCCCTGGGGAAATATGGGTGTTCGATTAAGCTGTTAGGCTCTTTTGTCCCTTTCCCAGGCCATTCTGTGGTGTGAGATGGAGGCAGTCTGAATTATGGGGTTCAGGACCTTATGTACAGCCTCCCAAATCCTTCCTTTTGTGGAAAAGAATGTGTCCAGTTCTATTCCACGCAGGGATCTCTGCAGATGGGGATGGAAGCAGGATATGCTCCATAAACCAGTGTTGATAGGGGCTGGGTGTCTCCTTGTGCTTCAGCCTTCCACTAGGACTTGCTCGCTGTCCGATCTTGCTAGATGATTCAGGTAACTTGCTTGTGATGTAGGAACTCTGCTCATTTTTTTTCCCCAAGTGTATTTACGGGGGACCCTTTGCATGGCCAGATGTTCTGAAACCGTGTTGTCTTCTCTGGTGTTTTCCAGCAAACGGCTCCTCTGTGACGTGGTGATAGTTGCTGAAGCTGTTGAGATGGAAGCCCATCGCGTTGTCCTAGCAGCCTGCAGCCCCTATTTTTGTGCAATGTTTACAGGTACTTTTCTGTTTCCAGTCAAAGTGCAGCAGTTGTGTGTGCCCTGCAGGTTCTAAGACTTGCATAGTCATGTCTCTTCCTTGGTGTGGGCTCGGCTTTTTGAGAAGAAAAGTAGTGAAGTCCAGCACATTCATCTGCATAATAAACTATGAACATCTCTAGACTAAATCCCCCTCTGGCCAGGGGACCATGTCTTGTGCAGGTTTGAGGACACCAAAATCACTTGATAAAAGTTGGAAGCCACTGTATGTGTCCCTTAAGTGAGAGCTCTGCAGTGTACTTGAGCCACTATGTGGGACACCAATGGAATTGTAGGTGGGTTGCCAGAAAGCTTTCGAAGTGAGATGTTTGACTTTTCTAACCCAGAATTTTTAAAGTATGTTATGTTTTGTTTTTTTTATATCCGGCATACTAGGGATGTAAGAGTGTCAATGACTAACGGTTTAACCGATAAGTGGATGCTTATTGGTTAATGGTGTTGGTTAGATTCAACCTCCGCAGCAGTGAAACCTCCTTCCCAAGAGCCGGGTCGGCAGGGGCTGGCGGGCTCTGATCATAGCTGACCTTATTACATGATTTTTAACACCCCTCATTTATACAGTGCCATTGATTTGCATGGTACCTCACATAAGAACCGCCATACTGGGTCAGACCAAAGGTCCATGTAGCTCGGTATCCTGTCTGCTGACAGTGACCAATACCAGATGCCCCGGGAAAGGGAACGCAACCGGTAAACCTCATGTGATCCCTCCTCTGTCATCCACATTACACATTCTCCTCACAAAAGTCTGTCTCGGAGCACTCAGTCCAAAAGCCTTGTCCTACAAACACTTGAACCCCGGGAGAGGGAACGCAACCGGTAAACCGGTAAAGCAAATGGTAGAAGGTTCCAATGGCAGTAGTTAGACCAAGGCTTTGGAATCTCTACCTGGGGTTAACGTTACTCATGTTAACAAAACTGCCTGGGTGCTTCACCATTGCCACGATTAGGTCTTTTGTCAAGAGGAAAGGAGGAATTCTCTTAGGCCTGGGATGGAATCTACGCTAGCTCAGCTGGTCAACAGATGCACTGCACCATCCTCTCTGCAGGAGTGTGTTGACTGGTACGTGATGTTTACCAGAAAGGTGTTTTTTTTTTCTTTGCAAAGCTGACAAATCCAAGCTAGTAAGGATCTGTCTAGAGTTTTTAGAGAGCTGAGATGGTATCCTGGGATCGGATGTTAGTGGTGATGATAATGCCTTTGCATCAGAGGTTTGCACTGAGTGCTGCCAGGGAGCGTTTGCTACTGTTTGTAGTAGTTGTTACACCAGCTCATGAGACCAGAGCTGTGGAGAAGTGTAGAGGTCATGTCTGTCTGAAAACAGCCACCATGATTAAATGGCATTAATAAGGTCTTAGTGCTGTTCCTGCACAGGAATTCACGAAAGGGGGTAGTAGTGCTCAGATCTGAAAGTTAAACAGTAACCATCTAACCACAATTGTGTGACTTCGTTGTAAACTACCTTTTGGCTATAGTTATACCTATTACTACTCTTGCTTGGATTGTAAAACAAGCTGAGCATTAGGTTAGTATCAGGCCTCTCCTTGGTTCAGTTTAGGGCTGGCCATTCCCATACTCAAGTTATTCTGGGTTTCCCTGCTGCAAGGTCAGAGGTATTTTTCTGTACCTCAGTGTGGTTTCACTCTGTGGAGAGTGACCCTTTACAATAATAAGCCGAATAGTCTTCATTTTCTCTGGGCTGCTGCTCAGGAATGAAACTTGACAGCATTGGGGAAACAAAGTTTCTGTATTTATTCACAGGAGGTGTGTACAGCTGCCGAGGGGGCCAGTGGTAAAGGGGGTAGCTCCCTGGGGCCTGGCGATTTTAAAAGTATCCGGGGCTCTGGGCCCTTTAAATCTCTGCCAGAGACTCTCACGGCATGGTCTGGGTGGTGCTGAGGTAGGTATCCAGGCCACACCGCGGGCTGGCTGCATAAGGCTCTTCCCTCTCCCTGACATTGGCAAAGCCTGTCAGCAGCTCTGAGCATGACAGCAGAAGTACCGAGCTGTTTGAGTTCATACCAGAGTAAATTCCATTTGACTATGTCCCTGAGGAAGGTTCTCATTGGGAGAACCGGTAGCAAAGAAGCCCCATGACAAGTAGGAACCATACAGACCCAAAACTCGTTCTCCTAGGTGGTATCCTTCCTTGGCTTTTTCAGCAACTCTCAATTACCTAGACCTGTGCGGGATTTGAACCAATGACCTTGAGACTGAGTTCCTATGCCAATGCCTTCAGGCAGCTGATCTCATCTAGTTATATATTGTTTAAAATCAGGTCTTTGAAGCTCTGGAATAGGCAGGCACGTGTCCCACTGAAGTTCACGAGACTTGCTCCTCCTAACTCCAGAACTGAATTTGGAGCAGCGTTCCTATGCTGATCGCTTTCCCTTCATTGCTTTTTAAAAGCACTTCCCATGGAGGGTTTTGATGGTTGGGTTTTGTTCTGCAAGAATGGCAATTGTTGTTTACTACATTTTGAAATAAATCAAAACCAGGTCACTCCAGTAATGGCCACAAAACCTGCAGACACGTAGCTGGAATGTTTCAGACCATTAATGCAGAACAATTGTTTGTCTTTGGGTTTTGGAAGCACAGAAGCAGTCAGGACCAATCCAGGCTAGCTTGAATAGATCTTTGGTTTAACAGGGGTGGGGAACCTTATTTGGATTGTGGGTCGCTGACGATCCAGGCTAACTTGAATAGATCTTTGGTTAAACGGGTGGGGAACCTTATTTGGATTGTGGGTCGCTGACCCACTGAAAAATGAGTTGGGGCCACACACAAGTGAGAAGGGGGGGGGGAACCCCTCACTGATGTAGCTCCTGACTGAGGAGGAGAGAGAAACTCCACATTCCCCTCATACACCAGAACTTAAAGGGCCCGGGCTATTAGATTTTTATGCTTCCGCCCCATGGGCGATGGTGGAGGGGCTGGAGCATCAGCAAAGGCTCCCCAGTGCTGGGAGGGAGCCGTGGGCTTTGGGGTCCAAATCCAGGCAAGCCGGGGCTACATCTGGCTCCCCAGTGCTGGCTTTCCCTTGCTGAGTTCTCCAATCTCGGGCTTGTAGTTTGATACTTTAAACAGCACTCAAGTCTCCGTCTCCAGCACCGCTCCGCCGGTGATTATGGCGGAAAAAATGGCAGCCTGGTCCCCTGTCGCAGCAGCAGCCACCTCCACAGCATCTCCCCAGTATTCCCATGCCACACAGCAGCCCCCTGTCCAGCCTTCTCCAGGGTTCAGACTTCCCAGCTATCCTAGGTTGCGGCCACGGAGGCCAGAAGCGCCGCTGCTCCAGCCATGCAGGTCCCCAGAGGCAC